TTAGTTAATGGGCACATGTTTCTCTTTTTTGCATTGCCCACCTTTCTCATTTGAAATGTGATTTGAAGTTCACCTTTTATTACTATGGGTATAGACAGATGCTTCTATCCATAGGTTTCCTTATGCCATGATTTTGGTACAATTATGAGGATGAAAATGATTTAATAAAATAGATAAATAGATATAAGCATGTCTATCAATTTTTAGTTGTGTTATGAATTTGCTATCCCAATGGGAAAAAAAAATTAGCAGTTTAATAAAATTAATATTAAGTCGAATTCAATGGGTTCTTAAAATTCTTTTGACTCGATTCTGGTATATTTTCTTCTATTGGGAAAGTTTTGCATGACAGATATTAAGAAAATTAACATCAGAATAATTTTGAAATTTATTTAATATTCTTTCTATGGTATAGATTAGTATTTTATGTTTCTTTTTCTAAATAGTTAATAATTGAATATGATGATAATTACTTGAGATGTTGGCCCTGCTTCTCGTCAAAGCAATGTAGAAAAATAGGCCAATGAGTTATATAAATGGTTTTATTTCTTTGTCCATAGAAACAGGCTAGATTTAATTTTTAAAACAAAAACCCAAAAATACCAAAATATTAACTATTTTTGCTCTTATTTTGCCATGGTGGCTAGATTGTACCTAATTGAGTTGGAAATTAGGCACCGAAATTCAGTTTTTTCGGAAGTTCACTCAACCATTCCTACCATCCTTGTTCTTCCCTTTGTACAATTTTTGTTCAATATGACCGAGTGTTCTAGCATAGCCTTCTCGGATGAATTGACACTGTTTTGGTGAACTTAGGTGCTTGGTTAACAAGAAATACTTGATCGCTGGTGGCGGCGCTCCAGAAATTGACATGTCACTTCGACTGGCTGCGTGGGCGAAGGAGCTCAGAGGAATGGAGAGCTACTGCATTAAGGAGTTTGCTGAAGCTCTTGAGATCGTCCCCTACACATTAGCTGAGAATGCTGGGCTCAACCCCATTTTTATTGTGACCGAGCTGCGGAACCGACATGCCAAAGGTGAAACCAATGCCGGCATAAATGTGAGGAAGGGCCAAATCACAAATATTCTGGAGGAAAATGTGGTTCAGCCACTTCTGGTCAGCACCAGTGCTGTAACTCTTGCGATTGAATGTGTGAGGATGATTCTAAAGATTGATGATATAGTTACTGTCAGGTAGATTGAATTGTTGTGTTCTAGTTTCATGGCTGGTTGTAGTGAGGAGGAATCTTATGTTATTGTGTTTTTTTTGGTGAGACCTGCAGGTTGGGGGTGAACTGTGTTTCAATCAACTTTGTGTTCTTAACTTTTTTTGTTTTGTTTCTGGATTGAAAATTTTTAACTTTGTTTTTTTTATATGCCAGGTGTTTCTAAACTCCATAGAGATGGAGTGTGAATGGTATAAAAATGGTTTTGGGTTATGTTCATTGATGCAGTTCTTCCAAATGTGATTCTTGTGCGTTATTGTAAAGGAATTAAAGAATT